TTTTTTTTTGGTAAATGTTTAATAATACAAATGTATTAGATGAGCTAGTCGTATACTAGAGGGAGCCCATTTACCTGTGTTAAAACATAACGTTGACTTTTTGAGGGGAAAGAGAACAAATTGAAAGAGAGATCTTTTTTTTTTATTTTTTAATTGACCAATTTGTGCTGCTGAGATATAATTTGGAAGTTCTGATTGAGTAGGGTTTTTATTCTAAGGTTTTTGTGTTTTTCTTTTTTCTTACTAGCATATACTTACCTATTTTTTTTGTGGCTAATTAATGACAATATAATCCTTTGTCAATTACAAAGCACAATTTTTTTTAAATCTGTAAAAACACATTTTGTAAGTAATAAAAACTAGGTGATATTCCTATTCTATTGGAAGCTTTTTTTCAAAACAGTTTAGTTTTGTTGTTGTTCTTGTTGTATGCTGCAGAGTCAATCCTGACGCATAGGAACCCTATAGGAGGGTAGAAGTGTCCCATAGGGTTTCCAAGGAGCAGCTGGTAGATTTGAACTGCTGACCTTTCTGGTTAGCAGCCTGAACTCTTAACCACTTCACCACCAGGGCTCCCAAACCAAACTTGTTGCCATCGAGTTGATTTCGACTCATAGTGACCCTATAGGACAGAGTAGAACTGCCCCATAGGGTTTCCAAGGAACAGCTGGTGGATTCAAACTGCCAACTTTTTGGTTCACAGCCAAACATTTAACCACTGCACCACCAGAGCCCCCCAAATTTTAATGTTTGGAAACTTCTAAGCATGGTGTATTATGATTTTTTACCAGCTTTAAATCTGGGTTTAACTTGTCCTGGCTGTGTGGCATGAAAAATTTTCTTAACTTCTCAGAATCTTAGTTTAATTACTAAAAATAAAAGATAATAATGCCTGCTTAATAGGGATATGCTAAGTATTTCATACATAATATCTACAGCTGAAGTCTTGCCATATGGCACATAGCAAGCATTTAATATCAAATTAAAAAAACAAAAACAAAAAAACTCTGCTGTGGAGTTGATTCTAACCCATAGCTGCCCTACAGGACAGAGTAGAGCTGCCCCACAGGGTTTTAAGGAGAAGCTGATGGATTTGAACTGCTGACCTTTTGGTATCACTTAACCACTTTACCACCAGGGCTCCATTTAATATACAGAACCTATTATAATCAAATAATTCTCTGGGTGGTGCAAACAGTTTGCACTTGACTACTAACATAAAGGTTGGTGGTTCAAATCCACCTAGCAGCACCTAGGAAGAAAAGTCTGGTGATCTGTTCCCATAACGATTATTGTTGTTAGGTTCCAACGAGTTGGCTCCATTTCATAACGACCTCAGTGTATAACAGAACAAAAAGTTTCCCAGTCCTGTGCCATTCTCACAATCATTACTATGTTTAAGCCCATTTTTGCAACCACTGTCAATTCATCTCATTGCGGGTCTCCCTCTTTGTCGCTGACCCTCTACTTTACCAAGCATGACGTTTTTCTACCAGATGACATGTCCAAAATAAGCGAGATGAAGTCTCGCCACCCTTGCTTCTAACGAGTATTCTGGCTGTACTTCCTCCAAGGCAAAGTTGTTTTTTCTTCTGGTAGTCCATGGTATATTTAATATTCTTCACAAACACCATAAAGATTGCAGCCAAGAAAACCCTATGGAGCCGTTCTACTCTGTAACATATGAGGTTGCCACTCGATGGCAATGGATTTTTATATTATAATTTACAGTACTCTCTTCTCTCCACACATCCGTGAAAGACTTATATTTTGCTTTGTTCCACGTGCATGTGCTTCCAGATAAAACTGATTATTGGTCCAACATAGGTTAAAAAACAATATTGAAGAGTCACTTATACTCTCTACAGAAAACATTTAGAGTGAAAGACTCTTGGATTCTATGAAGAGAAAGATTGGTTATTTGCAATATCTTCAGTGAGCTCTTAAGCAGGCTGGGCTTTCCAGGTGGAAACTATTTAATCAGATACAAAGTTACGTTAGTAGGTACTTCTTCTAGTTAGTGAGAATAATTGCTGTTGGATGGGGTTCATGAAAAATACGTAAACGTTTTAGAAAGAGGTCACTATGTAAATCAAGATCCTCAGAATGGAAATTACATCAATGTGGAAACATAACGCTTTAATGACATTACCATGTAAACATTGGAACCATGGCATCCAGGAGATTTTCATTTCCACGTGCTGTGTTAAAGACTAGTCGGGGTCCTGTACGAAGAAATTAGCAGTTATATTCCCTGTTTACTATTTATGCTCTGGGTGCTTCAATTTCGCTTTTAGAAGCCTCTTGTCTACTAGAACATTCTAATGCCATTCTGTAACTGGATAATGAGTTTCCTGTTCAGCAGCAGCAAAAGTTGCCCTTCATCTTTGGTATGTATTGACTGGGTTTGTTTGTCTTCAGTTCTCACCCTCCACCAGCTGAGGGAGCAAGAGACCTCCTCTGCACCAGACGCAAGCAGCCCCTCCTCCTGAGGCTTCTCCTGGTGCATTTCCCTTTGAGGAGCCAGGATCTGTCCTATTTACAGGAACTCAGTAACACTGGAGTTTTATTTTATGCAAGAAGTTCCATCAAAGAGCTTAGATTTTAATGAGATATGTTTTATGAAATTATCTTGGGGCTATATAAGGTAAACAAATTCTCTATTATATACAGAGACTTTTTGTACATTACTGAAATTTGCGTTTTTAAAGATACATGTAAAGATATCAATGCAAATACAGTCACTATCTCCGTCTCTCTTTCACACACACACACCCCCACAAGCACCTACTCAAGTGCACACGAACGTGCGCATGCGCACAGTTGAAGGCAGGCCATATGTCCGAAGGGAGAGCGACTTGGAAAAACAGAAGTGCTGAACACATCACAGTATCATCGCGCGAGGACATTCGTCGGTTTTCTCTCTGGCAATGCGATTTTTCTCACCCTCAAGACATGCAAATGACTTTTTCATCTGTTCTTTTTAAGTTATTTGCATAATTTTCTCCTATGAAAGTGAGAGCTGTCACAAATTAACCGTTTGAGGCTTCGCCATTTAGTTATGTGACCTTTTAGAGAGAACTAGATCTCTTTAGGGAACTAGTAACTTTTGATATCCTGGATGGAGAAGAGCGTCTCAGGTGGTCAGTGGCAGAAACAGCGGATGAAGGATGGCTATCAGTATGTTGTTAATGACACAGGACCCCATTTTTAAAAGTTGTTTGACATTTTGGATCCTCTTATGCCCTTGTTTATTTTTGTTTTAGTAAATCAGTATTTTAACAGGTAATAGAACAGAGTGTTCAGTTAGGTGTAATGTATTCTGGTAGGTATCTCAAGTTAATCAAACAAGCAAACAAAACAGACAAACAAAAAAAAACTCATTGCTGTCGAGTTGATTCCGACTCATAGCGAGTAGAACTGTTCCATAGGGTTTCCAAGGAGCGGCTGGGGGATTCGAACTGCCAACCTTTTGGTTAGCGGTCCTAGCTCTTAACCATTGGCCACCAGGGCCCCCTCAGGTTTATAGTACAGTGCAAACAGTTTTGCAATTTAAAATGCTATTTGAAAAACTGCACGAGCAATGCTCAATTCTCCAGCCTTGGTTTGGGTGCTTGTATCTAGGCGGGGGGAGGAGGGGGACTGACACATATGCTTATTTAGAATGAATACTTCCGATGTATAAAGCATAGAGTTGCCCTCTGGAGGGCTGTGATAAACCTTTAAATTCATTTTACTTAGACAAAGGTTGAAGTATGTACCGGGCTAGGGTCAAAGACAAGTGCAGCTGTCTCTTTTATCACCCTGCTTTAAACATGTTTCAGCTTTAGGCTTGTCTTACAAATCAACTCTATCAGTCTATTAATTGCTTCTCTGTACCTGGTAGCTAACACGAGGGCACCTGGAAAACCAGCAAGAGAAAGCATGTTTAAGTCGTTCGGTGGCTGTAACACTGTGGCTAATCTCCTGGCAAATTATAGTCTTAGTTGTAGTTTATCCTTTAGGCTGGAAACGGCAAGATTCCCAAGCGGCCGTGGTGCCTTTTCCAACTCCCAGGAGGGTGACCAAGACTCCTTGTGCTTTGTCCGTACACAGGGAAAGTTCCCTGCTAATCAGGTCAATGATTATCGCCCAGCTCCCGGGACATGACAGGAGCCTATCACAGCGGCAAGGGAGCCTCCAAACGGAGCACGCTCACGGAGCATTTCCCGTTCAGAAACATCCCTTAGTCCTCATTTACTCCCTGAGAACCTCTGAGGATTTCAGCTTATCTTTTTTCTCCCCTTAGACAGTGAGGAGCTCAACATAAACAGCAAAAAGAAGCCCAGTATGCAGCTACTTGGAGGGTGTTGATTGAAAACTTCGATCTCCCCACCCCATTCACGGTTGATTTGACTGATTTCTCACCTCCTTCGCAGAGAATATTTCAATTAAGGTAAGTGCTGCTTTATCTGGGTGACTGCGTCGCACTGGATTTCTGCATTGAAAGTTCTAAATGACTAGACTGACATTCTGCACTGCAGCAAGTGATTGTTGATGTCAGGAAAAGGCTCAGTTTATAAGCAAGTGTCCTGGAACGAAAACCGGCGTTGGGGGATAATGGCATTTCCAGGCAATTTCTTATGAAATATAATCATTTTGACTTGCATCAAGAGAAGATAAAAGGGACTACAAAAAGAGGGTTCATTTCTCATTTTACCTTTTCACTAATCTATTTAGAGGATTGTGCTGTATGAAGGTAACTTGATTTTGAGGGAAGTGTTTTGTTGATGCCATATGGTAAAAAATCTGAGTCTAAAAGCTTCGAAGTTAAATTAAATGGAAAGAAAATTTGCAAAGGAGCGTTGAAATTTTGTGCAGTTTCTACTTTAGCAACATTCCTGAGCTCCCTCTGGGTTTAAGGATTTCATGCTAAATCCCAGAATATTTTAATAGTGTCCATTTAGGAGTTGTAATTTAAATGATAGAATTTGGGATGTAACTTTCAAGAACAATTAACCTAGAATGAAGATGTCTTTGATCTGATTTATGGTTCTATACAGGAGAGATGGATTCCTTTTATGAGATAGATTAATAAAAAAAGAAAATGAAGAAAAATTAAATGCTTCCAGAAATGTTTATTTTGGAAAGTAGAATTGTTTAATAATGTTTAAGGTTATATGTTTCTTTAGTGAAATCGTTGACTTTGTGCTAGAAGTTGATCTTTGTTATAAAACTGTGGTGAATTGATGTTGAGCTTGTATCTTACATGTATAATTTCAGGCAATTATCTAGTTAACTTAGATTGCCTAGTAACACATCATTTCTTCTATACCCGTTTTTCTTAAAAATTTGTTAAACATATCTAAAGAGACAATGGAGGTAACTTTTCTCCAAAGTTTGATTTAATTACCTAAACTTTTTCTCTTCTTCTTTACTTTGCATATGTAAATATTGTCTGAAGGTTTTAGCCCACATTATGGTGAATTTCTATGTAAAGAATGATAAACTGATTCTATCAACATAATTATATATGGCCTATTGATTAGCACTCTAAGCACATGAAGAAACATAACCACTTATTATAGAGTACTTAAACTTTGAAATGGTTTTCAAAAATTGAAACAAACATTTAAAAATATAATTACATGTAATTACAGGCTAATACTTATAAAATGATTTTCAATAACTAATCTGTAATATGAAAGCACAATGTAAATGTCAGGTTGCCTGTGTAAAGATTTATAATGGTGTCTTAAATGTGCTTTCTAGAATGAGCACTCATATTTCATGAAATGTTGATTCTGCCTTGTTCCTATGTGTATCTAGAGATGGGACATTTTATACAGATGTCAGAACTCTGCTTATATTAATTGGCTCTCCTTTAGAAATTCTCTGGAGAGCATTTCAGGCTGATGTTGATGTTATTGCTTAGCCCACAGGAATACAATTTTTGCAAGAGTCTCATAGGCAGTGACATGTACTTGATGGTTATCTGTATGTTTTTAGTTAAAGTCTGCAAACATTTACCTAGCTCTGTTGCACTGAGACCCTGTCTCCCTTCTCTGGGGGAAAGGTTTCTCAGTTGACTCAAAGATATCTGAGAGAAGAGTATGTTCACTATAGTTACTGCCACTGGGTTGTTGGCTTTTTTTTTTTTTTTTTCCTTTATGCAGCCCTGACAAACACGAAGAGGCGCATTAACCAAACAGAGCCACCTTCAAGGGAATAAACTTGTACATTTCTGAAAACACCTATCTGTTATAGACTATACCTTATGCCAAGTTCAAAATTAATGTAGCAGCACACCCAATGAACTTTGATAGGATGTATTTTAGTAATGCCTCTGACTATTGAAGAGCCCTGGTGGTACAATGGTTAAGAACTTCGCTGCTAATCAAAAGGTCGACAGTTGGAATCCACCATCTGATCCTTGGAAACCCTATGGGGCAGTTCTACTCTGTCCTGTAGGGTCACTATGAGTTGGAATCAACTCAATGGCAACCAGTTTGTTTGTTTGTTTTACTATGGAAGGACGTGTTTAGTGTATACATAAGTGTTTACATTAAAAGAAATGAAGGTATTTCTTCGTTTTTAGGGGGCTTGGTTGCTGCTGCTGCTGCTGTTCTTGCTGTTATTGTCTTAATTTGCATCACACAAACTGGTAAGGGAATGGAGACATTCTTGTGTAGAATGGTATTGGTGGTGTTAAGTGGGTAGAATTAGGAGATGTTTATTTTTGGTAGCATCAATCTTCTCAATCTGACTTCTTTTTCTTTCTTTTTTTTTTCCCCCTCCATTATTATATTATCAATAGGTGTCATCATAAGTCTAGGTTCCATATTAATACCATTTTTCATTTATTTGACTATAATTTATTCCTTCTGTGAGATTAGAAAACATCTTATGGGGTAAACTCATTTAGATGAGGCAATTTCAAAATTTAAACGAATAAAAATCTGGTAAAATTTATAAAACTTGCTTTAAGATTTACAACCTACTCATCAATATGTGCTATTATTTTCAATAAAAGACAATGGGGAAAGATAGTATCTAACATGTTTTGCATGCCTCCTAAATGCCAGATACCTAAGATACAGACTTTGCATGTATGATTACATAATCATCAAAAGAAAATGATTAGGTAGAGATTATTTATCCCCATCTTCCGGATGAGGATATGGGGCCTGGGAGAGGATATTTAACTGGGCCAAGTTCACACCATAATTAGTAAACCTATGGGGTTGCTAAACTGGGATCGACTTGATGGCAATAGGTTTTGTTTTTTGGTTTTATGGTTCAAACTCAGATCAGGCTATGTTTTAATGTCATACTCTACACTCTGCATGATACTCATGAACATGTTTATACTATGCTTAAGATTGTAAAACTTAATTGTATTATCTTCAGAATAGTTTAACTGTTGGCTTACTCAAGATAAATAATTTTGTAAATTCCATAGCCACCAGTGTTTGAAACAAGCATATACTATGTTCTTTTAGTTTGCTAGAGGTCAGTGTTCAGTTCTTTGCTTCAAGCTGATTCTGATTTCTACTGACAGAAAAAACACTCTGCTATCTTGTAATCACCATTGAACTTTAGTATCTTTAACGTATACAACTTTCCAAGAGACATTGATTTACTCAGGTTAAATTAAATAAAATGTAGAGATATAAATTCGATGCTACTTGTATTGAAACAAGATTAAAAGGAGTAATCAAAGGCAGTAAAAGGAAACTCATATTAGTGGCAAAAGATATTCACAATACAAAAGATTGAAAAACTAACAGTTGGAATTGAATGTGGGAAGGTAGGCTTTAAAAAAAAAAAGATGTAAATGTACAGGAATCTATCTGTTCCACTGGCTTTATATAAACCTTCCTGTATGTACACAAAGATTTGCTGTAGCTAATTATGTTGATATGGTGACAATATTTTCCAAACCAAAATTTGGTCCACTTTTATGACAAAAAGGGAGAGATTTTATAATATGAGCATGACCTGGAAAATCTGGTATGAATGGCTGTCACATGCAAAGATGTGCTGAAAGTTAGGTTGCATGGCTATAACATACTGTGCTCCAGAATGTTCCCAAGTGTATAAAAAGATGACATTGCACCAGATACTGCAAATAACAGATACAACATTGATATGAGACATGGTCCTTGGAAAGAAATATATAAAAAGTGTCACATACATATATATACACATATATACATATATGTGTGTGTGTGTGTGTGTGTGTGTGTGTGTGTGTGTATATAAAACCAAACCCATTGCCATCGAACCGATTCTGACTCATCGTGATCCTATAGGACAGCGGAGAACTTCCCCATAGGGCTTCCAAGCAGCAGCTGGTGGATTCGAACTGCCAACCTTTTGGTTAGTGGCCAAACTATAAAATTTCCATCTTCGGGTCAGCTTACTTTTCATTCTTGAGGTTTTGTGGTAAACTGTTGGTTTATCCTCCTAGATATGTATAAGAATAACAGAAAAACAAAGAGTGTGTGTGTGGGTGTGTGTGAGTGGGTGTGGGTGTGTGTATTGCTATCCGAGAAGAATGACCATGGTGTGTAAAAGCAGTATTGCGAAGGATTTTGTTATACTCTGAGTGCTCACAATACATAGGTCTCCCTATGTGTCTTGGCCCCACAGGCCACAGTAGATTTGACCAGAGATGGATGAATGTGCCCAAGGCAAAGACAGCCATCTCTAGAGTGGCCACGGATACTAGGTGGCCTTACAGGACCCTGCTGTCGAAGGATGTTCTATGCTAGATAACAAACCTCTGACTTGGGGCCTTAAATATGAAATACAATGTGGATAACCTGTAGTCGGTGTTCAGGAGCAGAAGTTAAGAAACATACAGAGATGGTAATCTGCTGAAGGCATGAGGTTGTCAGGAAGGAAAACAAGGTTAGTTGTGTCGGGTCAATTAGGAAAGCGACAGATTTACTGATTCACCATAATGGCTAATCACAAGCAGGAGGGAGTGTTCTTGTGTTGGGGCAATGAGGCTGTGTTATCCAAAGTGATATTCCAAACCTACTATGAGCTGGAATCAACTCAAAGGCACAAAACATCACCAACAACATGCAGTGCTGAGATTTCTTCCCATTTTCCTGGTTTTTCTCTGTGGTTTCAGTCTCAATACCCAATTCACACTGAGCACATCTGTGTTCCTTGAAAACGAAGAGTAGAGTCGACTGAACATCTTATATATTCACAGTTTTGGCAGACGGTGGACGGGGCAGTAATGTGCAGAGCTTTCACGTACAGATTCTATGTCCAACTGCCTGAGTTCAAATCCCAGTGACGGCACTTGCTAGCTCTGCGACCTTGGCCAAGTCAGTTAAAGTTTCTAAACTTGGTTTTTATGCTCTTTAAGATGGGGCTAATGATGGTACCTATTCCCATAGCAGTGTTGTGAGGAGTAAAGGAGATAATTGATGTAAC